ACTTCTAAATGGTGGCGGTTGTACATAAAGCAACAAACCCCTTGTGAGTTTGTTGCTTCATGTACACCCTACAGTCTGTACACTATTCTGGAAAAAAAAAATACACATTGGTTGTTTTTTACCAAGGTAGCATAACCCAAAGGAAAAAATACATTCACCATCACTCACTTCCAAGCTGTTTTTCCAGAAGTGCTGAGGCTTCATGATTCAGTGATCTACTAAACTACACCATCCCCATTCATCTCTTTTAAAGTGAAGACACCATCCTTCCCACCTCTATAGATATTTAGAGATAATTATATAGATGATTATATTTTACTGATGGCAACATTTACTGTTGGCCTTAATTTTTAATGTGTAATATACTATTTCTTTAACAACTTTGTAAAATTTACATAATTGTAATGGCAACAGCATAACATGAAATCACTAATGAAAATGTTCAAAATAATAATCAATATTCAGTTACCTTACAAATCCCAAGGAAGTCAAGAAAAATCCTAAAAAAAAAAAAAAAAAAAAAAAAAAAAAAAAAAAAAAAAAAAAAACTTGGGGTATAAACTCTAAGAGGGAAGACCCAATACTGTTTTTTTAGGGATCATTTAAGTCATTTTTGAGCCAATTAATATCAATATCTTGTATCTTTACTCAACATTGTCTAAATGAACATATTATCCTTGCTGCCATACATTACCATTAAAACCCTGTCTGGGATAGATGTATGGCCAAGTCTCCTTACACCTGCTGCCCATTTTTTTATTATTTTATGTCTTTGCAAACAGTACATTGAGATTTTGTATTTACAATAGTGGGTTGCAATGCAAACAGAGCCTCTATTATGCCTAGGCATTAAGGGCATTTCATCTAGAGTAGCACTAAACAGGTATACCTGGGTGTTCTGGGGGTCAACGCCCCCACAGCCCAGTCCATGACCATGACATGGGTGATAACTGACAGTTGTGGCTGGCATCCTGTGGTGGTAACAGTAGTAGTGTACCACAGATAAGACTGGGCTCCGGAATAAGCTGAGGTAGGATAACCACCATTAGCTTGATCCAAAAAAGAATAAACACTTTCATCATCATTCACTCCATCACTGCCTTTACAGAGGAGTGCTGATACTACAGTTCAAAACTGCAAATATCCCCACCCATCCTTCAGTGTGGGGACACTGTACTTCCCACCTCCAGGACTCAAGTCCAGTAATATTTATGAATCCCTTCATAAATGTTACTTCGCTCACACTACAACAGCATGTCAATTCATAGAAACCACTTGCCTCCACTCGTTCCTATCCAATCTGCTTACTGGACGTCTAAGCTCCCACACACAAAACCACTTTTACCCCCTCGCTACAAATACAGTAGAAAAACTTACCCCAGGAAAGTAGCTACATACAGTGAGTGTATGAGACTGTTACAGCAAAAGATCCATAGTGTAGCCATTCCTTTTTTTTTCTTATTTTGCATTTCTGATCCCAATTCCTGGTTAAAAAATAAACAAATCTTTATTGCAATTGCAATTCTTTAATTCTGTATTCATATTGTTAAACTTATACAGCAGGAATTCAAATCGTGAGGAAAAAATAAAAATTCAGGGGGAAAAAAAAAAAAAAGCCTAAAAGCACAATCTCAAAAAATATTGGAGCTTATGTAAAAATATAGTAATATAGAAAAGAATAAAAAGACCATACTGTGACTGGAACAATACACAAATAACCCACACATAGGAGAATGAAACTTATGATGACAATTTGGTCTTATTGGATCAGCTAGTGGACCAGTTAATGGTCCAAGCTGGACCGAAATGTTATAATTTTCTTTCTCCTATGCGAGGATCATCTGTGTATAAATTAAGCATATAAACTACTTCCATATCAGTCCAATACATGTCTACTTTACCTCTAAGAACAGATTCTCTAATTTTCTTCCTTAAGAAGGGTGATTATAGAAAGCGAACTCTTACACTACAGTGGAACCTTGGTTTCTGCTTCCCCTGGTTTTTGTTGAGTTTGGTCTTTGACAACTTTTTCCATCAAAATATTGTCCCAGTTTTTGTTCACCACCTTGGTTTTCGTCCGCCGTACCGAACGTGTCTGCGTACCCATGCCCACACAAAGCATCCCACGCAAGCATTCCGAGTCAGACTGGCTTGATTTCTTGTCAAGTGAACATTACCCTGCACGTTCATATGAAACATTTCACAATAATAGATTGTTTTTTGTGCGTTTATCGAGTGCGACGGCTAAATAAACCACCATGGGGCCCAAGATGGTTTCGAGTGCCAGCCCTTTGAAAAAGAAGGCGAGAAACATGACATAATTCAAGAAAAAACTTGTTGAAAAGTACGAAAGTGGCGTATGTGCGGTTGATCTCGCCAGGATGTACAGGAAGTCCTCATCAATGATCAGTTCCATCCTGGCGAAGAAAAAAGAAATCGAGGAGTCTGATGTTGCAAAAGGGGTAAGCGTGCTAACGAAACAGAGATTGCAGACAATCAAAGATGTTGAGAAGTTGCTGGTGTGCATCAACAAAAAACAGTTAGCGAGATTATTATTATTATAATCAAGGGGGAAGCGCTAAACCCGGAGGAGTATACAGCGCCTGGGGGGGGGGGGATGTGGAAGGCATTCAGGCTTAATTCGGGGAACTGGAGCACAGATCCAATTCCCTAAATCAAGAGCCCCTCACCAACATCAAGGAACCTTCCTTGAGGGGACAGTTAGCGAGAGATAGTGATGTGGAGGCGATAATTTGCAAAAAGGCGAGGCAGTTGCATGTGGATCTTGTAAAGAATATGCCTGGAATGAGTGCTGCTGTTAGTGAATTTAAGGCCAGCAGAGGCTGGTTCGACAACTTCAAGAAGCGATCTGGCATACACAGTTTGTTAAGGTATGGCAAGGCTGCAAGCCGAGACAAACAAGAGTCTTCAACAAAGGTAAAACTGATTTAAATGTTAATTTATCCATTAAAATTAGTGCTTTATATTTCTCATTGTTTTCTGTGTGTAAAACTAGAGTTATTCTCACTAAAATGTATTTTGTGTTAATGCTTTTGGACGTTGGAATGGATTAATTGGATTTACTAATTTCTTATGGGAAATATTTCTTTAGTTTTCGTCAAATTTGGTTTTTGTCACTCTCTGGAACGAGTTAAAAACTAAAACTGAGGTTCCACTGTATATATACCATTCCTAGTGTGCACCTACACCATCTAATGTTGATACCAATGTTCATTAACATTCTACTTGCTACTAGTACATAGATTATGAAGGTTAATAAAGATACAATTACTTTACAGAATATATTACAACATATATAAAGCTTTACATAGCCTACACAAGACATACAGTTACCATATTATACCAAAGTATTAATACTCCACTACAAAAATACAACTGTTAGCTTTATTTACATTCTAAAAAATATTTTATACAATCAGCTGACAATAGTGTGTGTATACAATCACACACGTCTGCAGAGAAATGTGCTTCACATATTAAAAAGTGACATTAGAGATTACAAACTGAATTTACAATTCAAGTAGGCTGTATGAAGGCAGAGTAATGAAATATATGGACTGTTTCATAATAAGACTGCATTTGTGAGGTTCACCAAATTTGTCTTGGGATGTGATTTTGTTACTGTGGATCCACCTTCCTTGATTATCAGTTGTGATACTGTAAAAGGAAACTGCTGTGAAGGATTTCCCTGTATGTTCGTCAGATGCGTCAATGTATATCAAGTTGCTATGGGAGAACTCCTTTGCATAAGGGATCTTAACAATGTCACCAGTTGTGAAATTGCAAAGTTGGATCCATCATCCATGATGTCCTTCAGCAGTGTTAACTCATTGCCCATACAAACATTTGCTACCAAGGTACACTTGCATAAACATAATTTCATAGCTTAATCAGGAGGCAAAGATAGTGTAAACATAAGTCCATATTTATCACATTTTAATGACAGGCCTACATTGCTGCTATCCTCCACATCCTCCACATCCACCACAACCACCACAACCACCCCCATCCCCTCCATCACCACCTCCCCCATCGCCACCATCACCATTTGCCATTGATGCCAGCATACAAACAAATGGGTCCATTCCTCCATCACCACCTCCAACATCACCACCACCCCCATTACAGCCATCACCACCACCATGATTAACCCATCCTCCACCACTACTTGGGTCACCAAAAGTAGCATAATAGCCACCTCCACACCCACCACAACCCCCACAAGAACCACACCCTCCTCCAACATTAGTTGCTACAATACCTAGTGTACAAGCAGTAGAGATACCATGGGGATCTTTACTTTTGTGGAATGCATTAGTGGGAGCAGCAGCACAGAAGAACCCAAGGGCTCCTATCAACTTGAGGTTCTCTACAGGTATACGACGAGGCAGTGTCAGCGGATCAATGGGCTTGTCAATGGGACCATCAACTGTGTCTATGGCATCACATGGAATGTATCGTGGCTGACACAAAATGTGTAGTACAGTCACACTCAGTCCCAATGCCACGTTCTCTATCCACTCCTGTGTGTTTCCATTCACCTGGAATGATTAATAAACTATTCAGTTAAAATAAGTATTTATAGTAAGGAACCACAATATATAAATGTCAATAAATTTCAGAAGCTCTTCATCAAAACTTGGAAAAATGAAGATATCAAATTCTATCCTGTAAGCAACAGAAAGAATAAGTGGCAACTGAGAGGGAGGTAGTATACCATAGGCTTTGATAAAAGTTGAGGTAGAATAACAAGTCCTAGTCTGAAACTAACATTTAAGGAAGTTAAGCCATCAAAATTTCAAAATTGGTTATGTTCTAAAGAATAGCAAGGAACCAGGTACAAAACAATAGATAAACAAAATACTGTACACCTGTACAAGTACCTTAAAAATGCCATCTTGCATGTTAACATAAATATCTTTAATGTTGTAACTGTAGAGTTGCTGTTCATATGGCAGAGTAATGACACATGCTGGTGCTGAAGGTGGACAATGCACACGGACTACCAGGTAACCTGGGCTTCCACGAACACCACGTTTTGCTGAAACAATTGTAAATTAAGCACAAAAAAATTAAATTTGTTTATTATATTCACAATGTGCTAATAACCAAGACGTTCAGTACTGTAGCTCCTGTACATACAGTTGAAGACATATTAGGGGCTATGGAAATAAGGATAAACTTGACACCACTGGCTGGCAAAACATTTCCTCAATAAAGATTCCCAAATGTTGCACAAGCGTTTCATTCTTCAATGTGTGTGTTTTCTAAACCATTTACATCACATATGAGAACTGGTTAAAAATTGCATTAAAATACAATTTGTACATGTAGAAATTAATAATTTCTGTACGTCTTATCAGTGTTTTAAGCATTTATTACAAAAGTTCAGAAGTTTGCCCTTATGATCTACAATACCTGCATTTTATATACAGTGGAACCTCTACTTACGAGTTTAATCCATTCAATGTCCTTGCTCGCATCTGGATTTGCTCGTTTGCAGAGTCAATTTTCCCCATTTAAACTGAAATGGAATTAATTCGTTCCCATGGAATTCCAGGCACGAGAAAATACTTCAGTAATTTCCCTAATATCAACTTCACAGCTTATTTATCTATCACAATTCATGTAATATGACATAATAAACAATATTAATAACAGAAACATGATATATACACTAGAATGAATAAAATACATGCCATTAAGTATGTGGCTAATGGTGGTGACAGTGGCCATTGTTGCTGGGGTTTATAGAGCCACCACAGCTGCCATTCCTGCTCCTGACTACACGTGTCGATAACCTAGGATAACCCAAAAAAAGCCAGTGACTTATAAGTGCTACACTCTTAGTGCTACACTTTGCCACTGCTACCTCACGATGTCTGCCACTGCTACCTCACGATGTCTGCCACTGCTACCTCACGACGTCTGCCACTGCTACCTCACGACGTCTGCCACTGCTACCTCACGACGTCTGCCACTGCTACCTCACGACGCTGCCACTGCTACCTCACGACGTCTGCCACTGCTACCTCACGACGTCTGCCACTGCTACCTCACGACGTCTGCCACTGCTACCTCACGACGTCTGCCACTGCTACCTCACGACGTCTGCCACTGCTACCTCACGACGTCTGCCACTGCTACCTCACGACGTCTGCCACTGCTACCTCACGACGTCTGCCACTGCTACCTCACGACGTCTGCCACTGCTACCTCACGACGTCTGCCACTGCTACCTCACGACGTCTGCCACTGCTACCTCACGACGTCTGCCACTGCTACTCACGACGTCTGCCACTGCTACCTCACGACGTCTGCCACTGCTACCTCACGACGTCTGCCACTGCTACCTCACGACGTCTGCCACTGCTACCTCACGATGTCTGCCACTGCTACCTCACGATGTCTGCCACTGCTACCTCACGATGTCTGCCACTGCTACCTCACGATGTCTGCCACTGCTACCTCATGTTGTCTGCCACTGCTACCTCATGTTGTCTGCCACTGCTACCTCATGTTGTCTGCCACTGCTACCTCATGTTGTCTGCCACTGCTACCTCATGTTGTCTGCCACTGCTACCTCACGATGTCTGCCACTGTTGCTTCATGTTGTTTGCCACTGATAGCTCATGATGTCTGCTCCCACTTTTGCTAGTGTTTTGAAGAGCTTTCCAATATGTGAAGGTTGAGGGGCAGTGCCAATCGGACAGGTATTGGACGGTGATGTCACTTCTTTACTCTTGAACATCGGCAAAGAATCGAACATTTCTGCTACTTTGAGCTCAATTTCAACGTACTTTTCTTCATGAAACCAATCAAAATCATATCTATTTCTGTAGTACATCTTCCATTCTATCAGACGAGATCAAAAAAAAACTAGAATACAACCATAAAAACCATACAAAAATATACCGCCAAGGGGAGGCTAATAGCCGAGAAGTCAACTCCGTTGTTTATAGTCTGATTTCCTTCATTTTTGGTGTATGCTAAGAAGCATCTTTCCATCATACATTGCCCAAGTTTCAATAAGATAATCTAGCAAACAAGTGAGACCCAATTCCTTAGATCAAGAGCAAGAGCCCCTCACCAGCGTCAAGGAGCCTCCCTCGAGACCCGCTCACATCTGGAAGCAAAAAATTGACCGAGCGACTGCTCGTATCTGGATAAACTCACACGTGGATGCACTCATAAGCAGAGGTTCCACTGTACTACTGTATACAGATAGACATGCATGTGTTTAAGGTCAAGAATAATTTTCACCTTCCCAAAACAGTCATATTATATGAAGAGGATTATTAAGCCTTTGAGGGTTGGAACCCCTGATCTGAAACTTGCTCTCAGGATTGGAGAATTTAAAAAAAAAAAAAAAAAAAAAAAAAAATTCTTACGATAGAGAAATGTTTTCCGAAGGTAATGAAACCAAAAGTATGAAATTCAACGAAAAACATATAGAATTACTCACAAAATTAGTGGACTCGGCAATATTTAGGCATCAGCAATTTCGCCCACTTTGAGCCTTATTTTTGGCCAATTCTATTCTTCCAGTCGACCAAACTTGTAGCTATTTTGCTAGTATTCCTTCTATTCTATTGACTGAGTACAAGTAACTACCCATTTACCTAATTTAACTACCCAATAAAGTGATCAGAAATCAGTAATCTGGCCAATTTAAAAGAATAAAAAATTGACAATTTCAAAATAGGGATCAGAACAAACAATGTAGACATTCCTGGCACCAAAATAATATTTCATCTGTTCATTGGTCATATTCTCAGGCCTCTCCTGTATCACACTTGCTTTCTATTTTCGATTTTTATTCACGCTACTGCAGACTACTAAATTATTGTAAAAATTTCATAAACAATGTCAGCACATTTGTGGACATGTATTAGACCAACCAGTTGGACATGTATTGGATGAGTGATGTAATTTGTGTGCAATGAATACATATTGGCAATAATCAAAAATTTCTGCTACTCTGAGCTCAGTTCCAAACTACAGCGGACTCCCGCATAACGATTACCTCCGAATGCGACCAATTATGTAAGTGTATTTATGTAAGTGCGTTTGTACGTGTATGTTTGGGGGTCTGAAATGGACTAATCTACTTCACAATATTCCTTATGGGAACAAATTCGGTCAGTACTGGCACCTGAACATACTTCTGGAGTGAAAAAATATCGTTAACCGGGGGTCCACTGTACTTTCATTCCTGAAACCAGTCAAAATCATCTCTATTTCTAAAATATCAGAACAGACTTACACCAACCTACTACCTTAAGGTAGTAGGTTGGTAGACAGCAACCACCCAGGGAAGTACGTACTACCGTCCTGCCAGATGACTGTGAAACAAAAACCTGTAACTGTTTTGCAGGATGGTAGGATTGCTGGTTTCTTTTTCTGTCTCAAACACGCTAGATAACAGGGATATCTTGCTACTCCTACTTACACTTTGGTCACACTTCACAGACACGCACATGCATATATATATATATATATACATACATCTAGGTTTTTCTCCTTTTTCTAAATAGCTCTTGTTCTTTTTTATTTCTTCTATTGTCCATGGGGAAGTGGAAAAGAATCTTTCCTCCGTAAGCCATGCGTGTCGTATGAGGCGACTAAAATGCCGGGAGCAATGGGCTAGTAACCCCTTCTCCTGTATACATTTGCTAAAAAAGAGAAGAAAAACTTTATAAAACTGGGATGCTTAAATGTGCGTGGATGTAGTGCGGATGACAAGAAACAGATGATTGCTGATGTTATGAATGAAAAGAAATTGGATGTCCTGGCTCTAAGCGAAACAAAGCTGAAGGGGGTAGGAGAGTTTCAGTGGGGGGAAATAAATGGGATTAAATCTGGAGTATCTGAGACAGTTAGAGCAAAGGAAGGGGTAGCAGTAATGTTAAATGATCAGTTATGGAAGGAGAAAAGAGAATATGAATGTGTAAATTCAAGAATTATGTGGATTAAAGTAAAGGTTGGATGCGAGAAGTGGGTCATAATAAGCATGTATGCACCTGGAGAAGAGAGGAATGCAGAGGAGAGAGAGAGATTTTGGGAGATGTTAAGTGAATGTATAGGAGCCTTTGAACCAAGTGAGAGTTTCCATTTAGGTTTGGTTTTAAATTATTAAATGGTTGTAGGGGAAGAAAAAACAAACCCACCAACATAAAAGTAAAGAAAACCCAACAACATAAAAGAGATAAAAACAAAGTTTTTTACTATCTTTTTTGGGTTAAAAAGTAATAAGGCGGCCCCGGACCAAGACAAACACTCATCCCCCTTTTCCTTTAAAGACCCCCCAAGATCTTTAAAGGGTACCCCTAACTTCTCTGTGCGAAAAACCCATAGGAGTTTATAAATAATTTTTTGAATACAATAAAAAAAAAAGTGCCCCACTAAACCGTAGCAATTATACAGCCCCTTTGGGGAGGTGAGGGAAAGGGGGGAGGGGAAGGTTTTCGGGGTTTTAATTTAGGGAACAAAGAGCACAGTTTCCAATTCCTTTATCAAGGGGGGGAGGGGGGGGGAGGAGGGAAGGGGCCTAAAGGAAATTTTGAACGGGGCTCCATTTTCCCAAAAATAAGCCTGAATCCCTTTCCATCCCCCCCTCCCCCCCCCCCTTTCTGTATAAAAAGGGATTGAAAAGGGCACCCCTCCATAAAAATTCAAGTTTCGGGGGCCCCAAAAAAATTAGGACAGGCCACGCCGGGAGGATTTTTAAAATGCCCCAAGAACCAAAACTTCGAGTCTTTTTCCCTTTTGGGTGGATTAGAAAGTGAAAACTAAGGGGAGGGGGCCCCATGCTTGACTATGGAGTTTTTGAAAAGGGGCCCCAGCACCCACTTTTTACTAAACATGGCAATATGAAACATTGAAATTTTTAAATATTTTTTAATTTACTTTTTAACTTTTTTAAACCCCTTTTGTTTTATACAGTGGGGCCCCGTGCTTTATAGGGGTTTTCCCTTATGGTTTCCGCTAATACACAAATTTAAAATTTTATGCCCAAAAAATTTGCTAGTGGTGAGCGGTCTTTTCAATTTTGGTGTCCCCCACCCGTTTTTTTACACCCTCCATGACATATATCTCTATTAGGGTCTGGAAATTTTCCAAAATTTCAATTTTTTTAAATATTTTTGCATATTTTATATATACCTGATAATTATACTTATGCGAACCTATCCTAAATTTACAGGGGTTTCCCTCGTTTTTTCGTAATTAATCCTTTCCCGGGAGCAAAATTTTACGTTTTACAAATTTAATTTTTCCCCAAAAGAAAAAATTTAAATAAAATTTAAATTTTCCTTTCCTGACACCCAGAAGTTTTAAAACAAAAAAAATTTTTAAACATGAATAACATGTAGTACATAAACAATACAAGGGGAAAATGAGAATGAAACATTAACAGCATAACACTTCCCTTTTTTTTTTGGGAAAATTTTTCTTAGTTTGGGGAGACGGGAGGAGGAAGAGAGGGGATTTTTTTATATTTTGGGGGGGGAACCCCCTTTCCATCAACACCTCAGGTCCCAAATTTGCTTTTCGGGGGGTTTGCTTCCTTCTTTTGTTTCTTA